GCTACCCACTCTCCCTCCGTCCCTCACTCACACTCCCTTTTCTTTCTTGCTTTCTAAAATACTTTTCAAACCCAAATGGGGGCCTTAACAGGCACACCCCAGGTGAATGCAATTCCACTCCCCTGTGCAGCCTTTACCTCCTCCCTCATGAGCCTATTGCTAGTTCTCATTTCCATGGATGAGAGCTAAAATTCAAGAAATGTCTCATGTTTATAAAGAAGACTGCCAACTATTAAAATATGTCAAAAGAGGCTTAATAATGAAAGAAAACCCTCCCTCCCTGCATTGAGAAGTCCTTAATACAAGTACAGTTAGCACAGAAAACCAGGAAGGCTCCCGAACTCTTTACTGAAATATTTAGGCCATTTAAAGACCCAGAGTAAACATCGCTATTCCAAAGTAAATATCTTGAACACATCAAGATTCTTACTTTGCAACTATCTCAAACAGATACACCAACAAGGACTGCACATCATCGCTGGTTTGACTAAAACAGGCTATGGACAGGGGTAGTCCTACATGCCAGTCCTCTTCAGTGTGTATCCATTTTTCTTGAGTGCAATGACAAAGTTTTATCTACACTATTGATGCTTCAGATGCAAAAAAAAGAAGAAAAACCAGTGTGTGACATCAAATAAATGCTATATGTACAAGTTTAAAGAAAGGAGTGATTACTTTCAGCAATGACTGTTAGGGAGGAGGTAACATCGCACCTGGGGGAACATAGCAGACTTCAACAGATTATTTCTAGGCACAGGATACTCAAGAAAAACATAAAGACAGTCAGGATAGAAGACATATCCAGATCCACAGGGCGCACCTGCACACAGCACAAGAACACAACCTGGGCAACTCCAAGAAGAATCCAAGTCTTGACTACAGCCTGGCCTTTGGTGAGCTCGCAGGGCAAGCCAGGTCTTCTAACAACACTGCTGGCCAAATGCACCGGCCTCGTGGTCCGGAACAGTACACGGGACAAAGCAGCTGGATGGGCAGAAGACTAGAATATGCCAGCCTAAAATGGGCCTCTGGGGCATAAGGGTTATTTTACCAAGAGCTTAGAAAGGTAGAAGGTAAATTGTTTTTTCAGCCAATACAAAAGCTACAGTTTCTTCCCTGGGCAGGATGCTGAACAGCAGGGCCAGGAGGAGCTCACCCACACACAGAGCTGCAAAGGGAACAGAGCCTGTGGGCAGAACTTGCAACGCCTCGTACACACTTTCTCCAGTCCCTCACAAAGCCGGTGCTGTGCTGACAGGTCAGGCCTGCGCGCTGTCAGAAGTTCATCAACACCCCTGACCTTACACTGTCGCCCCTGCTCTGCTGGTGGCAACCAAACTCTTCCCTAAACATTGCCCAATGTCCCCAGTTGAAAACCACTAGTCTAAAAGTTTTCCATTTTGTGTTGTTTGTCAAAGGAAATCAAAGAACAGTCCCAATAAAACGTGGCTCGAGCACTGGAGAGCAGGGAATGCTGGCCGCTGGAAACCCGTGACCGGTCCAGCCCCAGCCGTGCCAGGGTCCAGCCGCAGGACTCTGGGCTCGTCCTGAGATTCTGACAATCTCCTGTCCTGGAAGTCGAGGGCACTGAAACCTACCGAAAAGAACTAAAGAATTTAAAGACACAAAGCACACAGACCTCAGAAATAATCCAAGAAACAGTCTACCCTCTGTTAGTGAGTGAGTGAGTGATCGTAGCCAGTATTTCACAGAAAAAGTTCAAGAACTTGGCTGGGAATGACAGGAAGTATTTCTTCACCAGGACAGAGCTTTCTGTGAGGGAAGACAGAGATCTGTGTCGATGAGCTGGGAACAGGTGCTTCAACGATTACCCAGGACAACACATGCGAATTCGGATGTTAGTCCAGGCAACAATGTCCTAACATCTATACACCCATGTAGTTCTGCAACACATTTAAAACGTCCAAAAACCTGAACGGTAACAGAAATACATTTTCAGTCCATTAAGTGGCAGCTGTACAATGTCTATTTATCAGAACCAAGCCAGAAATTCCGGCAGCCTTTAGAGGTTTGATGCATCTACATTATCTTCTGGCTCAGGCGCCCCCACTGATTGCACACACAAATTCTCTGGTTTACTTGTACAAGGTTTCTGACTCCTAATTAAAGGCAACTTTAAGGAAGACTCAATTTCCCAATGCGGTACCACCCAACAACCAGGGAGTGGCAGCATTGCGTTAAAAAAGAACTCAGAAGCTTAATTCCACAGATAAAGCACACAAAGGCAGTGTGAAGTAAACAAAGCTGAGCCCACTTAAGTAACTGTGAAAGGCACAATGTTTCTAAACAGGCAGGTAATTTGATTAACAACCAAACATCTACAAAGGGACTCAGTAGACTGTTTCCTGGGGTGCTGAAGTCAGATAAGCCAGGGCTGCAGTTCTGCCTACAACCAGCAGTTACTCAGTGACCTTAGTGGAGTCACCTGGCCCCCTGAAATGCGAATGCACAGAATAAAATGGTGTCTTTATGTCTAGATTTCTTCCCCCAGATAAAACCTGATGTGTGAGAATTCCTTTTTTTGTTTTTTTTTTTAAATAAAAGATTCATCTGAGGGGCTGGAGCTGTGGCTCAGTGGGTTAATGCCCTGGCCTGAAGCGCAGGCATCCCATATGGGAGCCGGTTCGAGACCCGAGACCCGAGACCCGGCTGCTCCACTTCCAATCCAGCTCTCTGCTGTGGTCTAGGAGAGCAGCAGAAGATGGCTCAAGTCCTTGGGTCCTGCACCCTCGTGGGCGATCCAGGAGAAGCTCCTGGATCCTGGCTTCGGATCAGCGCAGCTCTGGCCATTGCAGCCAACTGGGGAGTAAACCTTTGGAAAGAAGACTTCTCTCCCTCTCTCTGCCTCTCCTCTTTCTGTGTAACTCTGACTTTCAAATAAATAAATAAATCTTTAAAAAAATTAAAAGATTTATCTGAAAGGCAGAGAGAGAAAGAGGAAGGGAGAGAAGGGGGAAGAGACACACAGAGAGAGGGAGGGAGGGAAGGAGGAAGGGAGGGCAAGGGGAGAGAGCAGTGAGGAGGAGGGAGAAGGCAGGAGAGAGGAAGAGACCTTCTATCTTCTGGTTCACTCTCCAATGGCTCCAACAGCAAGGTCTAAGCCAGGCTGACGCCAGGAACTTAGAATTCCACTCTGGTCTCCCTTGTGTCCCAAGTATTTGGCACATCTTCCACTGCCTTCCAGGCACATTAGCAATGACACTCCAATATGAGATACAAGTGGAGGCTCAACCCGCTGTCCCACAACATCAGGACCCTTGTTGAGTTTTCTACAGCTGCACAGAAGCAGTTGTCTAACATCATCATACTAAAGGTTTACAGATTAAAAAGTTGTCTTCAAGGGCACGGAGTTATTACAGCCAAGGGGAGCAGAGAGTATGGGCTCTCCCAGTAAACGTTCCCAAAGCCACCTCCGTCACACAGGTGTAGGAAATCTTGTAATTCTTACAACTCAGTAGCCTAAGACTCTGCTCAAAATCACAGAAAATTAAAGCCAGAAATAAACTTAAGGAACATTTGATTTCAACCAACCTGCCAGGTTTGAATCTTGGCTTTGCAAATTATGAAACTGTGTGACTTCAATACCAGTACCAAGAGGTCAGGGAGAAAGCTGAAATGACGACTCCACAGTCTCAGTCTCAATCTCAGTCTCAGTCTCCCCCCCCCCACCCCCGCATCTCTGTATCCCTCTCTCCCCCCCTCCCCAACTGCTTCTCCCCTCCCTCAACTAAAAAGAAAGTAAAGGATTCTGGAAATACCCTGCAAATAATCACACTATCAGGTACACTATGCTACATGTACTGAGTCATTAACTAGACAGTTTATCTCCTTTTCAGAGTGTGCAGTGAGAACAAGGACATTTCTTACTACCACTGAGTAAACAAAACTTTCACTCTTGTTTGGTCTTAGAACACGTTCTTCCAATAGCCTGTTACATTCAGTGTTCAGCCAGGCCCGAAGGATCCCAAGCCTGTGGGAGCCCCTCTCAGCACCACTGTCAATGGTGACTGACTGACCGACCTGTGGAAGAGCCGTGACTGAGGCACACCTCCCTTCTCCTGGTCAAACCACCAGTTTCCAACATACTTCAAGACAAAATTAAATGGGGCACAGAATCTTGTGAGAGGTGACTGGACATTTATTGGAATTTCCAAATAGTAGGATCCAGGTGCTACCAAGGACCCTATTTAGAAGTAGTTAGAAGTAGCATAATTAATCCTTCTTTAAAATTATTTCTTTCATTTGAAAGGCAGAGATTGAGAGAAACAGGCAGAGAGAGAGAGAGAGAGATCACCCATCCATTGACTCACTTCCCAAATGCACAAACAGTAGGAGTTGAAACAGGAGGCAAAAATTCCATCTGGGTTTCTAATGTGAGTGCCAGAGACCCAACTACTACATCATCTGCTGTCTCCAAGGGTGCACATCAGCAGAAAGCTGGAACCAGGAGCAACCAGGACCCCAACCCAGGCGCACTCTGATATGGGACATGGGGCTCCTAAATCATACCTTAACTGTTACACCAAACACCTGCCTTTCACTACTTTTACTTTCTAAGATTTACTTATTGATTTGAAAGGCAGAATGACAGAGGAGGACCAAAGGGGAGGAGGGAGAGATGTCTTCCATCCACAGGCTTACTCCCCAAATGCCCACATGTGCCCAGGGCTGGGCCAGGACACAGCCAGGAACCAGAACTCCAGCCAGGTCTCCTACACAGATGGCAGGAACCCAACTCACCTGCTACCTCCCAGGTGCATTGGCAGAAACCTAGATCAGAAGTGAAGATGGGATTCCATTCCATGCACTCTAAATATGGAATGCAGGCACCCCAAGTGGTAGCTTAACCTCTCTGACCTGGTCCCCTTCAATTCCTTCGCAAAGAAAAATTTGTAGATAAGAAGAACCACAAAAACACACCTTTTCCATCTGACTAAGCTGCTTACTGCTTTAGCACTGGAATTAAGGTGACAAGCTCATTTTCTTTTTCTTTTTCTTTTTCTTTTTTTTTTTTTTTTTTTGACAGGCAGACAGTGAGAGAGAGAGAGAGAGAGAGAAAGGTCTTCCTTTTCTGTTGGTTCACCCCCAAAATGGCCGCTACAGCCGGCGCACCGTGCTGATCCGAAGCCAGGAGCCAGGTGCTTCCTCCTGGTCTCCCATGTGGGTGCAGGGCCCAAGCACTTGGGCCATCCTCCACTGCCCTCCTGGACCACAGCAGAGAGCTGGCCTGGAAGAGGAGCAACCGGGACAGAATCCGGTGCCCTGACTGGGACTAGAACCCGGGGTGCCGGCGCCGCAAGCGGAGGATTAGCCTAGTGAGCCGCGGCGCCAGCCGACAAGTTCATTTTCAAAACCTGAGAGTGACACTCAAGCCAGACTTTCCAGAAGATTACATCAGCACCTGGTCTGTGTAAGATTTAAATCACATTGGATCATACGCTGAAGCATTAAAACTTAACTCTAGGAGGACAGGTGACTTTCTTATATTTTTAGCCAAGATGTACAAATGACTGGTTACATAAAATTCCCCCAGAAGTATGATGCAATGCATAAGGCACTGAAACCCAAGGCTTCGATGACCAGAAATAATTTCAATAACACTGTTTCTTGATGTCTTTGTTTAAAAAAAAAAAAAAACCTCATCTTTTGTTTAATTATTTTTACAGTTAAAGTGGACAAAAGTAAACCAATATTTTGATAGGACCCAAACATACATGAAAACGAAATCATCTCTCAACCACTAACTAAGCAATCAAAACTCATTAAGGCATTTTCTTTGTGGGTTACATTGCAGATGAACACTAAAGTTTTCAGACAACTAATTCTTGTTTTCATGCAGATTTTTTGTTCTTTGCTTTGCTTTGTTTTGTTTTCAGTGAAGTGACCAAAACTAAGTACTGCTGTAGTTGTGGCAAAAAATTTCTACTTCTTGGCCTCCCCTGTAACCTACGAGGGAACTTCTACTGTCTATGTTGCACCCAGATCGATTAGGCACTATGTAAGGGAGGATGCTGCACAGGGAAACAGACGTCCTGAAATCAAGACCAGTTCTGTAACTGCTCACATCAGTCCACATGCACATCACCTCCACCGGGATGGTTACTGCTAGGGCAGTGCTCCTATCTGTGTAGGGGGAGGAGGGGGAGTTTGGTTCCAGGGGAGTAGGTGGTGAGGGCAAGGCCAAGCTGCCAGTGTGGCCAGGCGCTGTGGGAGCCCAGGCAGAACAAAGGAGCAGACAAAAGGTGAATTAGCTCTCTCTACACCTAGCTGGACACAACTGCAGGCCTCCAGCCTCCTGCATGCAGTGGACTGAGAGGGACACCATCTGCTTCTCTGGTCCCTGGTTCTCCAGCCTGTAGACAGCCAAGGAAGGGACTGCTAAGTCTCCTTAATCAAGTGTGCCAGTTCCCTTGCAAGTAGCTGTGTGTACATACATGTGAGAAGCATATTGCAAAAAGTTCATGGGACATACAGAGTTTATTTTGGCACAAAAATGTTGTAATTCGTACAGTTTTTCCTAATATGTGTTTTGCATGAACTTTTTAAAGATACCCCCCCACACACACCGCGTGCATGGATTTCACATTTTTTGTACCTTTTTTGCTTATTTTTTATTCCATTTTCCATAAACTTTTTGAAGTGCTCCATATACACCTGCTATTGGTTCTGTCTCTCTGAAGAACCTTAACTAATACACTGATAAAAATGCTGAACATCAAATTCAGGCTTTCAAAGGCCTCCAAGTTAATGTTTGAATCATTTTATCAAGAAGAAATTTCAAAGATAGCGTGCTTTACAATTCTGAAACCTGCTGAAAAGACCCAAAATGAATCCCTTCCTAAACACCAGCATTCTTTCAAGCAGCTGTGGTTATATCAAATAAACACACCCACAAATCTACTTGATCCAAAGGATTTCCCCCACAGAGGATGAGAAGACAGCTGTTTGTAGACTGCACAGCTAAGAAATTGCAAAATGTCTCTTAATCCTCAATAAAACTCAAACATTCCATTGTATTTCACTCTTTAAAAAACAGAGCCCAAATATCCTAACGTTTGACATCTTTGTAACATTTCTGTTGTTGCCTGGTGATAAGAACAGCAGCAGAGGCAATGTTGCACATTTTGAGGGAGTTACTACCTCTTACACAGAACATCTGCTGAAGTTAGAGAACCTTGGAACACCAGCGGTGGGGACAGGGGCTGAAGTGAGCAGGAAAATAAAGAAGGGGAAGTCAGCAAACAGACTCCCAAATTTCTCTAGACACTTCACAAGCTGACTTTAAGGTAACATGATCAATGCTATATTACCAATATATTTCCTATTGAAAATGCTGAAATATCTTGAAAGGTTTCATTATGTCAGCACACTTTTCACAAGGGTTCTCAAACCTCTTAACTGCAGACTTCCTTGGATTACTGAAAATTACTGAGGAGCCAAAAGCACTTTTGTTTAGGTGAGCTGTATCTTACCATCATTTTCTATATTAGAAAATAAGAAAAACTGTAAAGATTTGTTTATGAGTTCATTTAAGAATAACAGTAATAAACCCGCTACATGCCCATGTTAAAATAAATTCTAATGTTTAAAGCTAAACTTGGGAGACAAGTGATCATTTTATGTTTGCAAATCTCTTACCACCTAACGTAAGAAACAGACTCTCCTTTTTGCTTGTGCCTTCCACCCGTGGAGCCAGCACACCTGGTTCACCTTGTGCAGGAGCACTGTCCACGTATCAGAGAATGAGAGGGAAAGGGCAGATGCTGTCTGGGCATCATGATGAGAACAGCCAGGCCGACCCTGCAGGCCCCTGGACCACACTTAAGAACAGTCCCAGGTCGGGATGAAGTGCACAGGCTGCACAGCTGGCTCCTTTCTGGCTCCAGTTGTTAAAATGATTTAGCCTGCTGCTTGAACAGAACCATGACTGAGAGCCGTAAAGCGCAAATTCATTCAGATGTGAGACACCAACAAAAAGCAGGAGATTTTATTTTTATTTATACAATAAGACATTTCAGTAGTGAGCACCAAGTCAAGCAAGAAAAAGGAAAAAAAAAATGCAGCTGTGGTTTCCAATTTAAGGTACTTTTGCGCCCCAACCAGGACTAGAACCCAGGGTACCAGCACCACAGGCAGAAGACTAGCCAAGTGAGCCGCAGCGCCGGTCTCAAGAAATATTGTTTTAAAGATTTGAAAGACAGAGAGAGAGAGAGAGAGAGAGAGAGAGAGAGAGAGACTTTCTATCCACTGGAATACCTCACAAAAGACTGCAATGGCCAGGGCTGGGCCAGGCTGAAGTTAGGAGCCAGGAGCTTCTTCTGGGTCTCTCATGTTGGTGTTGGGGTCCAAGTACTTGAGCCATCATCTACTACTTTCCCAGGCACATTAGCAGGCAGCTGGATTGGAAGTGGAACAGCCAAGACTTGAACTAGCACCCATATGGGATGTCAGCACTGCAGGCATTGGCTTTACCCACCAAAACACAGCACCGGCCAGAATATATCAAGTAATATTTAAAGTTTCATTCAAACAAGTATCAATCACTTGTCTGCATTCAGAAGAAGGCATATACTCTAAGACAGTGGTGAACCAATAATAGCAGTTGGAAATGAGTGCCCTAGGTAACTTTATTTAGCAATCTACAATTCTGGGAAACTCATTAGCCTTTTTGAAAATGAAGCTGTTTCCTAGCTGAGAAAACTGACAATATTAAACAAAATCAACTAAGACAAAAAATATTAATTCACAATACTGGATCATGCCCTTTTAGAACAATGATCATAGCTATTTTATGTGAATGTAGCAACATTCCTCCCTCTCCAGGTGGTAAGCTTTTTGTACTACTGCTTTCTGAACCAACCTGTAATTGTATACAGCTGATAACACAATAAAACAAAATGAATTTAGCAGCACAGGTACATGTAGTTTAAGGGGCCACCAGAAATGCAGGTTTAGAAATTATTAATTTAAATAAAATCAGCCTGCATAATAACAGGAATCCAACTATAGTTAGCAAATATTCTCAACTTGCCAATAAACAAATTCAAATGGTTGAGTAAGAAAAGGAAAAACCAGTAGGAACAATGAAAAATTACATTTTTTTCCTAATTTATGTAAGTCAGCCTTCTTGTCTTCAATATCTTATTTTTTCCTCTCTCTTTTCGACTTAAACGGAAGACGGGAACCATTAATACCTGTTGGTCTATTTATAACTGCTCTGTCTACAACCATTTTTCTAACACAAACATGCCCTGATAGCTTATCTCAGTGCACAGGCCAGACAACAAAGGCCCACGCCTGGCTGAAGGAGAGAAAGGGAAAGCAGGAAGTGAGAGGCTCCGTTAATCCCAGCTCAGTGTATTCAGTGAGCTACACACTGAGCTGAGAAAACACTGCTTTAGAAGAAAGAAAGGCCAAGGGCACAGGCCCAGAGCCCCAGTTTATTTACAACGGGATAATCTTTGCCAAAAGGACCCTCACGTCCAAGCACCAAGACAACATCGACTACATACATATATATGTAAATGTTGGATCTTTTTAAGATCTTTTACACTCTATCCAGTTTCAATAATAAATTAACTTCTGAATTTTGTTTCTTGTTTTGGCGGATTTTCAAAAATTATTGATATAATTTATGCACAATTAACGTATTTACAGTCTCAATTAGTCTCCACAAATGTATTCAGCTGTGTAACTACCGCAGCAATCGAGATGGGCTCCTTCCATTACCACAGAGATGAGCTTTCAGAACCGACACCTGCTATGCTGAAAAGGCCAGTGTACCAGAGACTCCCAGAAAAAACTTCTGATCTGTATTCCTTCCTCACTTAGCGCACAGAGAAGTTAACGCGGAGACAAGCAACTTTGAGTAGGCTGTGACACTTCTCTGATCCACGGCTAGAGACCACTACAAACAAGCATCCAACTCTTTAAAATTCAAATAATTTATTAGATAAAACTCCTGGTCTGAGACATAGATGGTCTCCTGAAATTCCCAGAATATAGATAAAAACTACAGTGATAACAGTACAGAAGATAAAAAAATATTTCAAGCTAATTTTAAAATCACCCAACCGGTATTTACCAAGCATCTGCTAGACAGCAGATACTGTCCTGGAGATGGTGATGGAGGGTTCACAAGGGGGAAACGGAACAACGCCCCAGCCTGCTATTCCACGGGGAAGCCCTTTGCCAGGCTTCCCAAACCACCCACTGCCATCCCAGCCCAAAAATGTCAGATGTGCTTCCAAAAAATCATCAGGAGTGAAATCTGCCACTCAGTATACAGCCCCAGACAAGCAACGTTTATTTACGCTGTTATTTAATTCCTCTGATATTATTTACCTTAAAATTAATGGTCGACCCCAAAGCACTGGACAATGGCAGCAAAAATTATGTTCTTACTCGGCTGCCACATATATAGGCAGAAAAGGGCCGAAACGATGGTAAATCCACACATCACGGTCACCATCTACAGAATCAAAGAAAACTCCAGTGTGCATGTCTTGCTCACTCTCTCAGCTAAGGCTAAGCCTGTCCATGAGAACTCCCTAAGGATCCTCCTACCCTCTCTATGTTTTTAAATTTTTGTTATGAAACACCTGACCTGCAGAAAGGTATAAACACACACGTAACCATGATCCAAACATACCTACAGCCATAAAGCACTCAAGAACCCACGCAGCAGCCCGTGCCCCTCTGCTGGGCAGGCCGTTCTGCTCCCCAGACATGACCTCTACCTTGAACTCACTGTCGAACACCCTGGGTTAGTGACCCCAAGTGTGAGGGACTGCACAGGAGCGATCAACAGGAGCTAAAAATACGTAGGTTATTGTCTTCTCTGCTTTTATGGCTCCCACAAGTAACACCATACCCTTCAAGTTCTTCAATAACCTGCTCTGATCATTCAGCATTTGGCTGACATGACTCATTCCAGCCCAGTTCTGCTCATTTTAAATGACGTGCATCTTCCACATACACACACCATAACTTGTTCATAAATTTTTCTACTGATAAGATATTTGGGTCATTTCCAGTTTCCCACTGTTGCAATCATGGATGTTAAACACATTCAATTTTCCCATCCATGTCTGTGCAAGTCTGTCTAAGACACACAAACTTTTCTATTCAGATTATGTAAATTACTCTGAATGTTTGGTGCCATACCTAAATTTTCAGATGACTGGAAAACTGTTGTTATTGTGTCCTAATACCTTTTTTTTTTTTTTTTAATTCTTTATTGAGAGAGTGGACAGTGAGAGAGAGAGAGACAGAGAGAAAGGTCTTCCTTTGCCATTGGTTCACCCTCCAATGGCCGCCGCGGCCGGCACACCGCGCTGATCCGATGGCAGGAGCCAGGTGCTTCTCCTGGTCTCCCACTTGGGCCATCCTCCACTGTACTCCCTGGCCACAGCAGAGAGCTGGCCTGGAAGAGGAGCAACCGGGACAGAATCTGGCGCCCCGACCGGGACTAGAACCTGGTGTGCCGGCCACCTTTTTTGTTTTTAAAAAGATTTATTTATTTATTTGACAGTAAGAGTTACACAGAGAGAGAAGGAGAGGCAGAGAAAGGTCTTCCATCCTCTGGTTCACTCCCCAATAGGGTGCAACAGCCGGAGCTGTGCCAACCTGAAGCCAGGAGCCAGGAGCTTCCTCCAGGTCCCCCACTCAGGTGCAGGGGCCAAAGCACTTGGGCTACCTTCTACCACTTTCTCAGGCCATAGCAAAGAGCTGGATTGGAAGTGGAGCATCGAGGTCTCAAACAGGCGCCCATTTGGATGCCAGTGCTTCAGGCCAGGGCATTAACCTGCTGCGCCACAGCGCCAGCCCCTCCAACATACATTCTCAACAACAAACTGCAGAATAGTGTGCATAATTTGATAGCTTTTTTATTTACTTGCACGTGCACAGAGACATTGTGGAGAATACAAATGAATGCAATCACAATGATTAGCTGTGTGGCGGGAGGTTAGATGAAACGGGAACTCAAGTATATAAGCCCAGGGATAACAGGCTGGCTGTCTGTACCTTTTCACATTCTTCAGTTCTTAAATCATGCAAACTTAGTATCTATTCAAAAATATTATTTTAATGTTTGTGTTATTTAATGCTTGTGTCCCTCCCCTGCCCCCTTTCTTTCAACCCCAGTGCATTTCTGCCGATTCTGTTTTACCGAGTTCCCGTTGCAGGGGATGGCAGGCAGAACCTAACAGAGCTGGAACCAACACCAGCCAAGCTTTTTGAGAAGAAAACTGAGCAGGCATGAGCCTATGTAATCACAGCCATCCGTGCCAACACTCTGGTGTACATTCTCTTACACTTAAAACTTCCAAAACAGCTAACATGCTCCCAACTGCCTTCAGGAGGGACCCACACCCTCCCTGCCCCTCTACATGCCATGACCTTTCACACTACAGCTCTCCTCAACATGCGCATCACGTTTCTGAATGGAAAAAGTCAAATTCTGTGAATATGAAACCAAGCGTCTCTTAGTGAATGTAAAATGTTCTGCTCCGTGCTATCTTATGAAACAAGCCTTCTGAGACCAAAACACAGCATTACAGATCCTCCTCATCCCGTGATACGCCAAGGAGGCCAGGCCCACACCGAAGCAAGGAGGGAGGAAGTCATTAATCAGGCGTAATTGAAAGCTCCCTGAAAGAAGGCAATGAACACAATCTCTTATCATAACATTTTTGTCTGTGTTTGCTATTCCCACAAACTCCTCTTTGATTACAGATTATGTCTTTCCAAGAAGACACTCTGGCAGCAGACTGCTGACGAAGTGCTGCTGGCAGTCCCCTCCACAGCCGCATTAGCATTTCTGCTGCTGCCCTGCACACACTGGCATTATCAATCACACACAGCGTCGGGCACAGTCACCAGGTACCTAACTACTAAGGGCATTACAAATGTAGTGAGCTAATCTTTGGATATATGCTCTAGTAATTAAATTCCATTATGGTTTCTGCCTTTAAAACCTAAAGGCAGGCACCACAGAAATCAAGTGCCATCCACAGTACACTCACATCTGCCATGAAATGTTACTTTATTATATAGTTCACATCCAATTACTGAACACAACCAGCAAGAACATCTATCACTTACATTAAAACAAGCAGAACCCAGCAGTAGGGCTGCTGGAAGCCATCACATGTTTTAAATGGATTTCCCACCTTTCAAATATCAAGGGGTCCTCGTTCCCAGAACATCCCTCTAAGGGGTCTGGCCTTTAACAAAGAGAGCTGCCCAAGTTGAAAGAAACATTCAAAAGGCAGGACATGCTGCAAAGCCCAGCTCAGAGCTGGAGACATCTGCCCCTTGTGTTAAAATACAAATTAGTAAAAGATCCTTTATATGAAAAATAAATACACATAAAAAGAAAGCTTTTGTCAGCCTACTAACAGAAAAGTAAAGTTATATTAGTACCTAAGGAGTCCGTGCTGTTGACAAGTGACCCCCCCCCCCAAAATAAGGGAGTGATCCTGTCCGGAAGATCTATTCATTTCTCAGTTTCAGAACAAAGAAACCTGTCTTGAGGTTCCTGCTCGAGCCCTGGGAGTTACAAGGGCCATCAAGCACACAGTCCTGCATCTCTGTCCATGTGCTATTCACGTGTAATTACAAGATCAGTGTAAGCCAAACTCAACAGATTTGCAGAAATACACATCAGAGCTCTCTGCCTACTAGCTCCAAATGATGATCTTCAAAACAAGCATCAAGATAACTCCCCTAATCCTCTATATCCAGAAAAGTTTTTACAGTCAAAAGAAAACTTCAACCGCTGATGCTTGGCAATCAACACATAATACTACAACCACTTACCTGTTAATAATATTACCCTATTCTGTAACTTGAGGGTAGAAATAACGATAAAGAGAATTGTAGGGCATAATCTTCTAGCTCCACCATCAATGTTATATCAGGAAGGCTAACGAGAGAAACTGGCCGAGTTCTAATTGTCAATAAATAATTATTGGGACATAAATGAAACAATGCCCAAGAAAATGCAATCAGATCACAGGGAAGAGGAGACGGTGAAATCAACTGCCTAGGGAATTGACACAGGCTCCTGCTACTCTGCATTTATATAGAAATCAATACCTGGTAACTATACTCCAATCAGACTCTAGGACAACGGTTCTCAACCTTTCCTAAGAGTCTCTCTCTCCAGAATGTGTATGCCATACAGACTACTGCAGAAAATGCCTGAATGGTCGCAGGCTCCCAATTTAAGAATCACTATACTTAGCAACACCAGCCACAATGCATCACTTGTTTATTTACCATCATATTCCTACCAGCACCCAAGAAAATGAACTGACAAAGGCAGTGTCATCAGTTCTGTGCCCACTAATCCCAGGAGCTAAAACAATGCCTTGCTCATAGTTGACATTTAAATAAGGAATGAATAAGTGAATTAACGAATGGCAATTAAAAATAGTTGTGCCACTTAACAAAACAGTTAAGTCCCCTAGTCTAAAAGGACAATTTATAAGTCAAAATTTAAAACCCTTTACCTGGTGCTAACCCACTGAAGACTATGATGCTCCAACATATGAATGCCAGCTTCTCCCCCTTCACCCAGTTTTTACAGCATGTGAATAAGAAGAAAAATTCTTTAGCACAATTATATCAATAAGGTCCAAACCCTGGAGTTAAGTCAATGCTAAGGGCAAATTACCTGCTAAGCAACTAATTAAATACATGCTAAGCTACAACAAAGCTAATTTGAAATAAAGCAGTTTACAGTTTCTTTAAAAACAAAAAGGATTTTAGATTTTCCATTTGTGTGTATTAAGTATAAATCTCTGTTTAACACAGAGATTCAGCTATTGTGCAAAAATTCAGTAGTGACTATATTCATATTATATGACAAAGGCAAGAGAAAGTGTTATAAACAAGCCTATTATATTTAACTTAGTCCAAAGATGATATTCTTAGGTAAGAAAGTTAAATTTATTAAAATAAGAATATATGAAGCATCATACTTTAATGAGGTTCATAAAACTTATGTTTTATTCAATTCTCATCAGGTGAAAGCCACTTACACAGAAATCAGTTGTTTTTACAAAAACCTGGCTGCATGTAGCAGTGAGATACAGAATAGTTCCTAACTCGTAGCATTTGATAAAACAAAGTGCATCTTTCTGAGATGCTCTTCCACAAAGCAGTTCTCAGAAACTGGTCATTACGCATGGACTGAGCGAGCTCCATAAGAATAAAGTCCTCCCAATTAGCATAGGGAAACATATTATCTAGAATACTCAAAAATTTATAAAAATGAAATTAAGAGCCGGCACCGCGGCTCAATAGGCTAACCCTCCACCTAGCAGCACCAGCACACCGGGTTCTAGTCCCGGTCGGGGTGCCGGATTCTGTCCCGGTTGCTCCTCTTCCAGGCCAGCTCTCTGCTGTGGCCCGGGAGTGCAGTGGAGGATGGCCCAAGTGCTTGGGCCCTGCACCCCATGGGAGACCAGGAGAAGCACCTGGCTCCTGCCTTCGGATCAACACAGTGCACCGGCCACAGCGCACCAGCCGTGGCGGCCATTGTAGGGTGAACCAACGGCAAAAGGAAGACCTTTCTCTTTGTCTCTCTCTCTCACTATCTACTTTGGCTGTCAAAAAAAAAAAAAATTAAGGACTTTATTTTGTTGTAAAAACTTTTTGAGAGCCTTGTACACGTTTTTCATAATATGCATTCTCTATGGACTGTTCGAATACCCCTCGTATTCATGGATTTCAATTTTTTTTGCATCAAAGGAATCTCATCTTTTAATTATATTTCCACAAACTTTTTGAAGCACCCTCAGGTATTTTTAAAAAACTGTCAAGCTGAGTTATTTACCATTTTTATTCCTATCAACAATATATTAGAATTCCTTGGATGCCAATATTCAGTATTATCGGTCTTTTCCATGTAGTCACTGTGGTAGCTCTGGGTGACATCTCACTTTCCTGATGACTCAACACTTGCTCATGGGCCTATCTGCCATTCACATGCAGGACTGCAACCCACGGTCCTCCGCATGGAATGCATACATCCCGATCCACGTCGTCACGGCAGGCCCAGTGCCCACCCCGTGGTTGGTACCTTCTATCTGCTCTCTGTGACGGCACTGCCCACCCCCATGGTTAGTACTTCTATCTGTTCTCTGTGACGACACTGCCCACCCCATGGTTAGTACCTTCTATCTGCTCTCTGTGACGACACTGCCCACCCCATGGTTAGTACTTCTATCAGCTCTCTGTGACGGCACTGCCTACCCCATGGTTAGTACTTCTATCTGCTCTCTGTGATGGCACTGCCCACCCCCATGGTTAGTACCTTCTATCTGCTCTCTGTGATGGCACTGCCCACCCCATGGTTAGTATTTCTATCTGCTCTCTGTGATGGCACCGCCTCCACAAGGTCGTAACAATACGCTGTGGTGTTCATCTAGAAGCTTTATAATTTTTAGTTTATATCAGGATCAATGATCACTTTTCATTAATTTTATATAGGAGGAGGTATTCTGCGGTTGTTTTTTTTTTTTCACATGGATATCTAGTTGTTCCAGTCTATTTGTTTAAAAAAAACCTTCCATTTTCCTATTAAAAATAACTTGATAATACACATAAGAATTCATTTAATTTTTCATTGAAGAAATAAAGGGTTCATCCTAGTCCACAGAGTACTGGCATTTTAACCTTATTTTTTATGATATTACCAATATGGGAAAGCATTTTTATGATTAAAAGTTTATATTTCCATAAAATAAATAGTAATATTGATCCAAATATGTATTTGTGATTGTTTTCCCATTTGGATTATGCCACAACATTTCATAAATACACATCTATTTAATATGTATTCATTGAAACAATTGTGATATTGGTAATGGCTGATGATTATGTTTGCAAAATGTAAAATTTTGACTACAGTTGCTAAAAGATATACTGCATATATTGTATATAACAATAATATAAAATATACTCTCTCAAATTTCCAAAAGCACCCACCAACACAGCTGCTCCTTTGGTACAATATTATATTTTCTAGAAAAGTTAATATATTTTAAGCTACCTTTTAAGGGATACACTCTGATCAATAGGGAAAACTCAGAACTTGAAACACACACAGAAACCATCATAGTGACATGGAATGAGCCTCTCACCATCAATGATAAAATTAATTTCTTTCTTTTTTCTTAAGTCTAAGTCCCTTATCACATACATGATTTGCAAATATTCTCTCTCGTTTTGTGGGTTGTTCTTTTCACTTCCTTTTTTGAAAATATATTTATTTATTCATCTATTTGGATAGAGAGAAAGGAAGACAGAGAGAGAGAAAGAGAGATATCCATCTCCCATCCATTGGTTCACTCCCCAGATGGCCACAATGGCCAGGGCTGAGCCAGGCCAAAGCCAGCAGCCAGAAACTTCATTTGGGTCTCCCATATGGGTGGCAGGGGCCCAAACACTTGGGCCATCTGCTTTTCCCAGGCCTTTAGCAGAGAGCTGGATCAAAAGTAGAGCAGCCAAGGCTTGAACCGGTGCCCACATGGGATGTCAGCACCGCAGGTAGCAGCTCTACCCTCTATGACACAACACTGGCCCAGTGACTAAATTTCACAGGCCAAGCTAGATATCAAATTAAGCCAACAGGATCAGATAATCTTCTTGTATGAGCCTGAATCTAACCCAAAAAACTTTAGAAAAACATGAAGCATTTATGACTCTTTCTGACATGGGTGGGACCAGTGTGTAGGGAAATTTCAATGGAGGAAAGACTGAGCAGGTAACAGAGTATCTCTTTTGTCTGGCAGGGTCCTCTGTGCCCATCCCCGCACCCCCCTTGTGGTTTACACGGGACACTGGTGGCCAGGAAAGCAGGTCACCATGTTAGTGTTAGTGCCGGTGGTGCTGGGGCTCAGTGAAAGGTCATTTCAATAACAGCTAACACAGCAGGAGTACCAAGTGTAAAAACAGGTCAACCAGGGAGTCAAAGCAAACTCCCACTGACTACACAAGCAAATTAAAAAAGGCAGCCCCGCAGCCTGGAAACAAGCAGGCGGGAAGGGGTAAACTGCAAGAGCTGCTAAGACTGGTGGTTCTGCCATCTGCAGAGACAGGGGACCAGGAGGATCCCCGTGCACCTACCAGGCCAAGCGGCCAAGGTGACCAGGGCAGTGGGGCCTGCAGGCTTTGCCCAGACGGACAGCAGGTAAGCCTACGCGTTTACTCCAAAACCTGGCCCACCACAACTATTTCTAGCACAAACAGCAGAGGAGAAACTACAGGTGGTAGGGTATAAATTCAGCAAAATAAAAAGATCCAACTGAAAGTGAGGGAGGGAAGGGGGGGATCACGGGCAGCCAGCTGCTGCAGCTTTCAACACTAGATGAAAGCAACAAAAGGCTGCTCTGCGCTGCATCTTCTACAGGTTCAGAAAAGTTAAAATCCCATCAAAATGAACAAATAAAAGAACTGAAGCAAAGCCTCATGGGTAGTTACTGTTAGAAATAAAGAATAAGGAGATGGCCAGCCCACAATAAAAGGCTAACAAAGACCACACCCAGTCACAGAGTACAGTGCTACTTCCAAACAAACTAAAGATAGTACCAAATCTGTGCTACCAGGGCCGTGCACACCATGGTGTAACGGGTAAAGTCCCTGCCTGCAGTGCCAGCATCCCATATGGGCACCAGTTCAAGACCCGCCTGCTCCACATATGATGCAGCTCTCTGCTATGGCCTGGGAAAGCAGTAGAAGATGGCCCAAGTCCTTGGGCCCCTACACCACACCCGAAGGAAGCTCCTGGCTCCTGGCTCCGGATTGGCACAGCTCTGGCCGTTGCAGCCAATTAGGGAGTGAACCAGTGGATGGAAGACCTCTCTCTCTCTCTCTCTGCTTCTCCTTTTCTCTCTGTATAACTCTTTCAAATAAAATAAATAAATCCTTAAAAAAGTGCATGTAAGAAAAGAAAGACATGATATAACTACGCAGCTGGAATGTCTCAGGATTCTAGAAAATGAATGAATGGCTTCTTCAGAATAAAATCCTTGGATTAGGAATAAAGCCCAAGAAACTAGAACACAGCATCAATGTTGAAGTATAAAAGCTAGGTTCATGCGAACTACTCTGGTGGCTTCCTAATTCGTCCTTTCCACCTCTAATCTTCTCAAAGCACAGCTCTGCACACGCATTCAGCTACTAAGAAGTCACCAGGCACTCACACCCGACACAAATCCAGTTCCTCAGTTTTCAGAACTCGGCACACTTTTCCCATTCTAGCGCCAATCACTTCCTTCACCAAACCAAGGCAGATGTCCAATATTCACAAAACAACACCCGAATCTGCTTCCAGTCTCTGAAAACATTTTCTGTTCTTCAGCCAAAATTCATCCCATCCTTTGAGCTCTGACTTTCAGGTACCCTTCCCCACGCCCTTCCTGGAGAAACCACTCACGATTCTACAATCCCCACTCTGGAGTGGGCGCCGTGGCTCACTAGGCTAATCCTCTGCCTGCGGCGCCAGCACCCTGGGTTCTAGTCCCGGTCGGGGTGCCAGATTATGTCCCGGTTGCTCCTCTTCCAGGCCAGCTCTCTGCTGTGGCCCGGGAGTGCAGTGGAGGATGGCCCAAGTGCTTGGGCCCTGCACCCGCATGGGAGACCAGGAGAAGCACCTGGCTCCTGCCTTCGGATCAGCGCGGTGTGCGGGCAGCAGCATGCCGGCCACAGTGACCATTGTGGGGTGAACCAACGGAAAAGGAAGACCTTTCTCTCTGTCTCTCTCTCTCACTGTCCACTCTGCCTGTTAAAAAAAAAAATTTTTTTTTTTTAAATAAAAACATTTTAAAAGATCAATGAGGGCCGGTGCCATGGGCAGTTGGGTTATTCCTCCGCCTGCGGCGCCAGCACCCCAAGTTCGAGTCCCAGCTGCTCTTCTCCCAATGCAGCTCTCTGCTGTGGCCTGGGAAAGCAGTAGAAGATGGCCCAAGAGCTTGGGTCCCGGCCCCCACATGGGAGACCAGGAAGAAACACCTGGCTCCTGGCTTCGGATAGGCATAGCTCCAGCCATGGCAGCCACGTGGGGAGTGAACCCACAAAAGGAGGGAAGACCTTTCTGTCTCTCCCTCTCACTGTCTGTAACTCTACCTCTCAAATAAATAAGTAAAATCTTAAAAAGAAAATCAGTGAAAACACTGGAAAAATTTTAAATAAGTCACTGAAAAAGTCACTTAAATTCTAATCTAATATTTTCATGCTGCTTCTGTTTTCAGAAGCATATCTAAATTCATCAAACGTTGCAAAGGGCACATGGGCTGAAGAAGTAAGTAGCCAAATTCACTCTCACTGGGCCCTTTCTTAAGAGAAGTTATTTGTCCAGTCTCTGTGAGTGGCCATGCTTTGTATGATGTAACCCTGACCTAAGGTCTACACCTGAGTCTATGAGGAGTGACTACCTGACCCAAAATCCAGACAAATCCTAAGCAACCAAGAGGACACTGTTGTCCATTATCTGTGGGTTTTTGTCCTGGAGGGTAAAGACTTGCACACATATATAACCTATCCACACCATCTCTGATATTTTAAATCATCTTTAAATTACTTATTATACCTAATACAATGTAAAAACTTTGTAAAGAGTTGTAGACAATGTTGTTTATGGAATAACTGGGAGAAAGGTCTGTACATATTAGTACAGACACATTTTTTTTCCCCAAATACTCTCAAATCTATGGATGGTTGATCCTCGGACACAGAAGGCTGACAGCATGTGGTCCAGGATAAAGACAACAGCCTGTGCCATGCTCTATCAACAACTTGAAACAAAGGCACTAAGGAATATCAGTTAAAGAGGAGTTTGAGATGTACAGATGCCATAAGGCAGAAACTGGCTATTTATATATTTATCTTTTTCCAAACAAGATCTTTATAAATTAATTCTGATCACTTCCTCATCCACTAAATCATGTCCCACACAGAAACAGGCCCAGAGATCTTCTCACCAAACTCCCCTTTGACCACCTCCACACTAATCCCTAAAATGGAACCCCTCACAACATGACGTACGAAACCACTGACCCAGACACAATCTGTTAAATTGCAAATACTGATACACATTTCCTTTCATTCAACACTTGTGTACTGAATATCTAAGTTCCAGGTCCTATAACAGCCACTGAGTTTAGACAGATGAGGCTGAGCTCTCAATGAGTGTTTACAGGAAATGCAAACAAAATCAGGATCCCAGTTCCCCATTCGTTCCTTGCTCTCATCAAGAATCACAAAATATCCGACAGCTCTGTGATCCAGCCAGCCAGCGCCTTGAACATCCCTGGCACTGATAAAGTGGCTGAGGTTGTAGCTTAAAACACTGAGAGATCAAACATGAGGCTGAACACACAGAAACTACCCCCAAGCCTGAACCACATTCCGTAAAGCTCAAACTCCGTAACTCGACAACTCCCTTTCAGGACATACCGAGGTAGAGCACCCTTGTCTCGGCACCCACTGGAGAACCAGACAGCCTTCTCTGCTTGAGCTCCTTAATAAAAAGCTTTGGACTGCTCACCCTGGCAATTAGTGCTTCTTTCTTTGGAATCCAACTGCCCCCAACTTGGGATGGATCAGGTCAGTGGTTTGCGGTGACTCTTCTTCCACTGTCACTTTTGGGAGGCATCCAGCCAACAAAAACAATAAACAAACAACAAGATGACCGGTGCCATAAAAACAATAAAGACTTCAGAACTGGGCAAATCTCCCAAAAAGACCAAAAAGGAAAAGGGACGAGGCCTGAGGAGGACGGTCAGAAAAGGCTCCTGGATGGGGCTGACATTTTGGCATAGCCAGGTAAAGCCACCACCTGCAATGCTGGCATCCCATAGGAGTGCTGGATTGTGTTCTGGCTGCTCCACTTCCATTCCAGCTCCCTACTGATGGCCTGGAGAAAGCAGTGTGGGAGACCTGGATGAAGCTCCTGGCTCAGCCTTGGTTACTGAGGCCATCTGGCCTCTCTCTCTCTCTCTCTCTCTAATAAATAAATAAATAAATCTGTAGAAAAGAGAAGAAAAGGCAAGGTCTCTGGAGAAGGTGGCATTTTTTGAACTGAGACCTTCATGGTGTGGAGCCAGCCACTCAAGACACAGAACAAACTCATCAAATCAAGATACAGAGAATCCAAACTCCACACTGACCAGTAGTAAGGACCACAGAAAATACCAGACAAGTTTTCTCCACAGGTTTAAATTCCATTTGGGGAGGTAAATTAGCTCATGAAAGACTTTTTGAAACCGTACAGAATTAAGCCCAAGGCCAGAGACACCCAAAAACAGAGTAAAAAAAAATGCAAACCACTTTCCAACTTACTGGTAACATTTAATCATAGGCAAACTAGATGATCTGGTATTTTTATTCTGGGATATATGGTGCTGGAAAAAAATTCATAAACTAAACTATGTAAGCTTTCCAAAAGCACAACTTGAAATTTTTTTTTTTTTTTTTTTGACAGGCAGAGTGGATAGTGAGAGAGAGAGACAGAGAGAAAGGTCTTCCTTTTGCCGTTGGTTCACCCTCCAATGGCCGCTTTGGCTGGTGCACCGCGCTGATCAGATGGCAGGAGCCAGGTACTTCTCCTGGTCTCCCATGTGGGTGCAGGGCCCAAGCACTTGGGCCATCCTCCACTGCACTCCCTGGCCACAGCAGAGGGCTGGCCTGGAAGAGGGGCAACCGGGACAGAATCCGGCGCCCCGACCGGGACCAGAACCTGGTGTGCCAGCGCCGCAAGGCGGAGGATTAGCCTAGTGAGCTGTGGCACCGGCAGAACTTGAAATTTTTATTATCTTCATTCACACTTAGAAAGGAAGTGCTTCCAGGTACAGAAGGAACAGTGTCGTTTGCTAGTCTGGACAATCTAGTCATCATTCTGCCTTTCTTCCACTTGGCTACGAGGTTATTTGACTTCCCGTACTTGCAGCTTCCTTGGCCAGGCTGGTTCCCTCAGAGGGGGCCACGTTCCTGAGCTCACCCAGAATCCTCTGGCAGCTTTTTTTTTTTCTGGAAACAGTTGAAGAACTGCTGAGTAGAAAGAGCTGCCAACCAATGAGTCTGCAAACAGTCCTGACTCAACTTTTCTGCTGGTGTGTGGAGTGCTAAAAGTGATGCAGCTCCTTCAGCTGCAAACAACTGAGTGTGGGCTTCCCAGATGTCTGTGGAGCGGGAAGATGGCCAGCAGTCCTCTTCCCACTGTGACCCTGACGAGAGAGCGGCAAGAGATGTCGGGGGCATTGTCATCAAATCCACCACAACTTGTTCCAGCCTCCAAGGGGCAACAAGAAAGCATGGACTAAGCTACCTGCGTCAGCAGATAAGGCACGTTTTTCTCTCTGAATAACCTGGTGGTGTGAAAATGCTTTTCTGGGGTAAAATGACCGGAAGTGACACAGTCTACAAGCAAAATGGTTAAGAAAAAATGGTCTGAAAGCAGGACAAGTCTTGACCCTTCCAGAAGCCACTGACCTTCTGTTAGTAGCAAATGACCACTGGCACAATCTTTGCTGGTTAAAGGGGAAAATTAAATGCCGATTAATGCTTTCCAAGGAAAATTCATACCCCAACATCTACAGAGGCCAATTGCCAGACCTCCTTCCCTGCCACCTTGCCACACTCCACATGCAATCACTGTATATGATTCCATACGGTGAGGACCGCAGAGGACAAATGCCATTCTAAACCAAGAGTGAGGGGTATCAGTCTCTCCACCCAGAACTCAGTGGCCTCTCAATTCCACTGCCCACATGTGTCTCAGCTAGCTCCAGACTCACACCAAATCCTCCCCCCTACCAACCGGCAGTCCCACCACGTGGTGGCTTCCCTGCACTGCACACCTCCTGTGGCGCACACACACTGCTTCCCAGCTACTTCAGAGGCCCGAGCTCACACCTGGCACCTCCAGACATGTGCGCACGGTGAGGGTAAGAACAAAGGTCTTCTCTTAAAGACGCAGCTGTCACTCGTTTCTGAATTCCTCCCTCTAAAGCTCCTACAACAAATGCTACACAAAGTGAGGGTTTAATAAACTTTGCTTTAACATCCTGGAAGGAAGCAATGATTTCCATAGTAGGAAAACACACTGCAATGCCAATCTGAAGCAGTAAATTCATCGTGAAGGCATTTTACAGCACCTCTCTTACTGAGCATGGACAAAGACATAAAGATGGGGAAACACAGACAAAATTCAACTAAATCACAAGCCACTTCATTCTTAATAACATGTCTTTAAATACCTTCCCTTCTACTTCTGCCCTGTATTCATTTACTTTCAACATACAAGAGGCTCAGATCATTTCCAAACCAATAAAAAGGTGTCCTCGTAAAGATATCTTGGCAAAGAGTTCAACACCACCATCCTATCCTAGGAGAATCAAACTTAAACATATTTGCATGAGGAAAGTCAATGTTAGTTTAAAAGGATGAACTGTAATCCAATTCATAAATTGAGTTCTAAGTCATTAGATTATAAATATATCTAAAATCTGTTGAAAATGTTCTTTTCTACAAACAATAACCACATACTCTTTCTCCAATAACTCTACTCTGCTTTTGGTGTGCTTGGTGTGTTTTCCCTTCTGAGATCCGTGGTAGTTCTCCTGGTCCCCCAGAATTAGATATGATCCCCGGTGATACCACTACTCAGGAACTGATGTGATTCTATGCTGGACGCTGCCAACTGCTTTCAGATTTCTTCAGCTGTGGTACAGATTGTTGGAGGCCCCCTTAACTTCCGTTCTCCCCATTTTCCCTGTATTGTTCGAGTATAGCCGAAAACAACTCCTCAGCCTCCCTTGAAGGCAGGGAAGCCCACAGAAACCAGACATGGTTACAGCACTACTGGAAGAGCTCTGGAATGGGCCCACATCAACACCTGTGTGTCTCTGCTTTCAGCTGCCTGGCTATGCTGCAGGACCAGTGTCCCTCAACCCACTGAAGAGCAACATTTTCATAAAATCCGTAGAAATGCTGTAGCAATGTCAAATGGCTATAAAAGCTTCTGGATAGCCACTCTCAGTTTTATACTTATCTCAGGGCGAGGTGGAAATAAAGAACTCAGGCCAGGAGCCCAATCTGAACACAACTGGCCTTGGGCAAAGACCTGAGGGCTCAGCTGTTGCAGCCATCCGCAAGTTCATCTGTTTACCTGGAGGAGGAATGAGGAGGTGGGAGCCAACAGGAGACTGGATACCTGAGGATGAGGGCCACACTACTGGCCTGCATGCCACCCCCTGGGGAACACTTCATTTTAGATGAGAATACAGTGTTAATTAGCTTGATTGTAAGAATCAGTTCACGGTGTGTGTGTGTGTGTGTATGAAAATACCACACTGTGTGCCTTAAACAAACAATTTCAGTTAAAAAATGAGGACGCAGACTTCTACCCTAAACCACTATGATCTGGGGTTTTGTTGTATACAACCAATCCTAGTGAGAAGGCACCGCATCACCACCTTTCACTGACACAAGAGAATAATGCTATGAAGTCAGCAGGATGGCTGTCACCCAGGTTCGACACCCATGGAAACTGACATTCTCAAAGATGTGGTTTGACTTGGGTAACAGAGCTAGCAAGCACAGAACTGGAAACAGAAGCCAGTGAGGCCCTCGTTCCACAAGGACAATCTGCCACTCAAGCAGGTGGAACTAGCTCATCATGATCACATGTAAAACACTATATAAATGATCATAGGTGTGTGCTCACAACAAATAACAAAAATGCAAACACTGAGTAGAAAGGTCCAATCAAAAACGCTATACTCAGCCCGTCAGATTTAACGGCTGCAGTAAGGCAGGCTCCTTTCACAGCAGTAACAAAGCATCTGTGCACAGAGGCCGAGGGCAGAAACCCCAAGCAACTCTGATACTGACCGAACCAGCAAAGCGGCAATTGAACTGGAACAAGGAATACATAGCACAGTAGGTCAGGTTCTAACACAAACCCTCCAACCCTGATCTCAAATCCAACCTGAAACACTGACACTGGATTCAGATACAATCTGTCAATTAGGAGCAATGTTTCTTAAAAGTGGTTTGCATGTTACTGTCATAGGTGACAGTCATACACGGTCCCTTGACACACATATGATTTATGAGAATCACTCTTTCAGTGAAGAAAGGTCTGCAATGGAGCCAATGCACTTACTTCCCAGGAAGTCCTTCAAGCAAAAGCATCTTACCAAAAAGCTGCTGGTTATGTTAGTCAAGTCACCTTTAACTTGAAGACCAATTTTTCTTTGGGCAGGTTTCTTTGCCTACTTGCCTATATGGGTATTGCATTTTTTTTTTTTTACATCTGAACAAAATGCTGAACTATTTACCCATATCAATACTTATCTGCTAAATACTGAATTAAATGGAAAAGATCTAATTTTTACCAAATGATAAAAAAGGCCTTTCTGTTACCCTGAATACTTTATTGCAACATTTAACACACACAAGAAAACCAGGACATGAACTTTAACGCATTTTATTATGCACATTTAACCTTTTGTATTTTCTCTACAGATACAAGCTAATTGCCAAAGGAAAACAAGCTGAAGAAGCAAACTTAATTGCCCTTGGCTTCTAAGCATCCTATAAAAGTCTGCAAGATCATTAGTGAGAATGAGTTTTTGTAAAGACTACCTATCTACTAATGCATTATACAAAAACAAAAGGAGGAAGTCTAGTTAAAGGTAAGAGGCACAGGCACAGGTTCAGTTAAAGGTAAGAGGCACAGGCACAGGGACAGGTTCAGATGTGTAAGCACTCACCAGTTTAAAAAACAGGGAAGAAGAAAAGCAACTCCCCTCTAACAGCACACCACACTCCACTCTGAGAGGCAGCAAGCCACAGTGAAGAGAAAAGCAATGCACCAATCCTCAACAGTGTATTCCCGCTCAGGGGCCAGCAAACTACCAGCCCCACATACAGGCCCCATCTGGGCCACATCTGTTTTTGTAAATAAAGTTTTACTGGAGCACAGCACCACACAGTCCTGCTCATCTGTTTATGGATTATCTATGGCTGAGTCGGCCACAGAGAAGACAAAACGGGAGATGTTTACTACCTGGCCACTTAAGAAAAGGCTTTGCCACCTCTCGGGGTCCAAAAAGCATCTGATAATAGGTAACAACCTTATTAGCCAGCTAGCTGGGCGGCCTCACAGAACAGGACGGTGCTCCTCTGGAAGGTGGTAAGAATGAGCCACCTGTCTCGTGAACACCAGGACTTGGTGTGCAGATATTGTAGTTTCAGTTCATGAGATATAAAATTGGCCAAAAGAAAGCTGAACCAAGTACAAAATGTCTCCAATAGTTTTCCAGATGTAAGTCAGAATACGACCCCAGAAACCCAGTGAACTGCGCTGACACTGTATCTCCTTTAAGAAACTGAAGTGCCAGCACTGTGGCACAGCAGGTTAAAGCCCAGGCCTGCAGTGCCAGAATCCCATATGGGCGCTGGTTGGAGTCCTGCCTGCTCCATTTCCAATCCAGCTCCCCGATTATGCACATGGGAAAGCAATGGACAGCCCAAGTGCTTAGACCCCTTCACCCACATGGGATACCCGGATGAAGTTCATGGCTCCTGGCTTCGGCCTGGCCCAGCCCCAGTCATTGCGGCCATTTGGGGACTGAACCAGCGAATGGAAGACCTCTCTCTGTGTTTTGTTTTGTTTTGTTTTCAAGATATATTTATTTATTTGAAAGTGAGAGAAGGAGAGGCAGAGAGAGAAAAAGAAGCAGAGAGACAGGTCTTCCATCTGCTGGTTCACTCCCCAATTGGCTGCAATGGCCAGAGCTGCACCGATCTGAAGCCAGGAGCTTCCTCCAGGTCTCCCACGCAGGTGCAGGGGCCCAAGGATTTGGGCCATCTTCTACTGCTTTCCCAGGCCATAATGGAGAGCTGGATTGGAAGTGGAGCAGCCGGGACTCAAACCAGCACCCATATGGGATGCCGGCACTGCAGTGCTGGCCCCTCTTTCTCTGTAACTCTGCCTTTCAAATAAATAAAATTAATCTTTTAAAAAAGAGAGGGCAGGGGAGGGCAGGGCAGGGCAGGGGAGGGGAGGGGAGGGGATAGAGGAGACCAATGTGTTCATGATGCTAAGTGACAATCTTTAGAAACAAAGTTGATACAGAACATGTGTGGGTGCTCAAGTACCACCCCTGCCACAACCTGCAAGCAGTCTGAAAATAATCTAGGGGCCCAGGCATAAGCAAACCTCACAGCTACCCGTGGCACCTGCCAGCCAGTGGAAAGCTGGCTGGTGTTTACCTCTCACTGCTTCCATATGCAGTCAACACGGCAAGTGTTCAACCATTTAATTTGTACTGATACTCAAATTCTTAGGCAGAAATTTCAATTCTCAAGGAAATTCGTGTTGTCTCTTGTTATATCAGGTCTCTCTCTCTTTTAAAAAAGATTTATTTATTTGAAAGTCAGAGTTACAGAGAGAAGGAGAGGCAGAGAGAGAGAGGTCTTTCATCCGATGGTTCACTTCCCAATTGGCCGCAACAGCCAAAACCGTGCCGATCCGAAGCCAGGAGCCAGGAGCTTCTTCCAGGTCTCCCATGCGGGTGTAGGGGCCCAAGGGCTTGGGCCATCTTCTACTGCTTTTCCAGGCCATAGCAGAGAGCTGGATGGGAAGTGGAGCAGCCGGGACTAGAACCAGTGCCCATATGGGATGCCGGCGTTTCAGGCCAGGGTGTTAACCTGCTACACCACAGTGCCGGCCCCTATATCAGGTCTCTAAAATGATTTACCCAACAGTGAGTTGATGGGAAGAGTGAAACATATAGGATTGGAAAACCAGGTGAGATGAGCAGCAGGCGCGCTGAAGTTCTATGACTGAAGGACCTGGGCAGGGGGATCAGAGGTGCCCCGCAGCTCAGCGCCCTGTCACAGGAGGGCATGGGGCCTGCAGCAGAGCCCCGCTCAGGCAGACTCGGAGCTATTCCACACGCAAGCGCATCAGCAGCAGACTTGGCTCGGTCAGGACAACAATCAAGGCTGTAAAGCAAGCGAATTTCAGCTTTTTATTTTTTTGAAGATTTATTTATTTGTTCGAAAGGCAGAGTTGCAGAGAGGGAGAGGCAGAGGCAGAGAGAGAGAGAAGTTTTTCATCTGCTGATTCACTCCCTAGATGACTGCAACAGCCAGGGCTGGGCCAGGCCAAAGTCAGGAGCCAGGAGCTTAATCTCGGTCTCGCAAGTGAATTCAGGGGCTCAAACACTTGGCCATCTTCAGTTGCTTTCCCAGGCACATTAGCAGGGAACTGGATCAGAAGTGGAGCAGTCGGGACTCAAACTGGTGCCCATATGGGATGCTGGCACGGCTTAACCTGCTAGATCACACACCTGCCCCAGAATCTCAACTTTTAAATCAACACTTACCAGGACTCTGTAATTAACTCTGTCGAGGGTTTTTCAGTCCCTTTTAGTGGCAGAAGAAGCCACTCCTCTGCTCCCAACATTTACTGTGAGGGAACCATAGCAGGAAGGCGTCATGTCTTCCCAGCGTGAAGCAACACTAACAGTTGTCTAAGCCTCAGCCCTTCTGCCTTTCTCCTCAGAGTATATAAGGCCATGTCTCTATCCTCGGACAGAACAAAAGACTCAGAATTCCAACTCCCTCAAGGTCGCCTATAAACAAAGAGGAGCAGGTGCTGAGCTGCAGCAAGCTAGGCCATTGCTTGGGGATGCCCATCCCCCACCAGAGTGCCTGCGGTTGAGTCCTGGCTTGGCTTCAGATTCAGCCTTCTGCTAATGTGCCCGGGAGGCAGCATGGTCCGTACCCATGGGTGGACTTCTGGGCTCCTGGTTTCTGCCTGGCCCAGTCCTGGCTATTGTGGGCATTTGAGGATCAGTAGATGGAAGACTGATCCCCCCAAGCCCTGCCTCCCACCACCGTAACTCTACCTTTCAAAATAAATAAAACTTAGAAAAACTAAAACAAATTTGAAAACCCTTTTATGGATTCCCAGGATGACTGTGACGGGACCCGAGTGTGTGCCCAAGACTTCCTCACTGGGTTAGAAGTGTACAGCAACCCCACCTGCTGCAGCACCACCTCTCTTCCATCCCCAGGCTCCACACCAACTGTGTCCTCACCTACTCACTCAACCAAAATGGCCTGGACAGGCATGCAGCAGCCATGAAGCTGGCAGCAGAATCCAGACATAAATGCCAGGAACAAGGAAACAGAAAGCAGCACACCAGGCTGGGTCGAAGGTGAAGAAGCTAAAGCAGTGGATTATCTGTAGGAAGCCTGGGCGACCCACGTCAGGGGACCAGCGGGGCCTGGGGCAGTGCCAACTGTCCGGCCTTCTCAATACCCAGGAGCAAGGCCATCTGCCACACCCAGAGGCCATACGGCTCCCTCCACCCATTCCTCCTGGAGCTCTTGCTTGACGCCCACTTCTCGTGGGCGAGCACAGCACCCACGGCAGGGTCGCGGTGTCCCTCCAGGGCTGGACATTTCACAGCCAAGCACCTCCAGGTTTGTGATCAGAAGTCAACCACACAGATTCCAAAGTTCTCTGCCAGCCCTCTCTTCATCAGTGTCCCCTCCCTCTACATGACAGGAAAGAGTTTCAGATCTGACCCCTTTTCCAGGGAAGCAGAACGCGTTGTGACTGTTTAGTCTCACGGTTTGAGACAGAGCTCAAAACCCAGCAGGGCTCTGTCTAGCTGACTACGTTCTTCCTGAGGCTGAATCAAAAAAAGCCATCAGCTCCACCACAAGATCATAAATGTATCACACCACCAATCTGGCACGGGAGACATGGAAGGGGAGCAGGTTCTGGACTTCACCAGCAATCGGGATGTCCAGTCTGAGTCCACACAGCAGGACTGCCGGCAGAGCTCCCCCAGCCTGGAGGATGGGGGAAGGGCTTCCTGCCACAGCTCTCCCTCCTCGTCCTCCCCGAGCTCTCATGACGACAGCACTGGTCACCTCATTTTTCCCTCTCGCAGGCTCACAAAATGGGCTGCTTTCCTTTTCAATCAGTTGGCCAAAACCCTACCACCACCTACCCAACTAATACTCCCATCTCTGCCCACTATCAAAAGCTGAGAAACAAAAACAAGCCCAATTTCCTGTATAATTTCCTTCATAAGTAAAGAATACAAGGTTCAGTGTATGTTAATCCATGTGCAAGGATATACTGTAGAATGCCAAACGCATCTGATGTTGCTAAGACAGTCACTGTAAGGTACAGACCAGCTGCCCAGAGGTTCAAAAGACAGAACACAAAGAAAAAAAAGTGTCTATGTGCACCACCAGTACCTCGAAAAACATGCAAAGCCACTTAAGTAAAAGCAAACCACAGATCTATTCTGGAGTATTGTAAAATGGAGAGGAATTATCCAAAGGGATTCACTAGCCTACTAATTTTAATACAAATGCTTCACAAATCTCCCTATGCCACTGACAAATCGCTAGCAGAGGCAAATCCCAGATAATGAAACACAGTGAGAAGGGCTCTTTTTAATAATTTAGCCCATCAAGGCTGAGTATTGATCCCGGAGCTCGCAGGAGAGGGTGTTATCTCCAGCCTTACACTCGCTGACAGCATCAGGGAATTTAATCACAGCCCTTTCCCGCCACCCAATCCTTAAACTGTCACCCCTCAGCCATTTCTAGAAAGCTCCTGGTCTCACGGATGTGTCTTCTCTATTTAACCACAGTAACCATCACAGCATTTCAACTTCTTTAGGTTAAATACATCTATCTGTCAATTATCATTTGCCAGCTGTTTTTCTTTTAAATAATCCTAAGAATGCATCAGGCATCTTTCTGTATTCCAGGCTTGTTTGTTAACAAATCTGCTCAATCTCTTAAGAGCAAATTGATAATCATAACAGTAACTGGGCCAATCTCTGGACATCTGTGGTTATTTTTTAATAAATCTGACACATTAATAACAAAAGGAAAACCAGGAAGCAGCAGTCTAGGTATCAACCACTGGGAGGTTGGAAAGGTCAGAAACAACTCCAAATTTCAGGGGAAATCAGCCGAATGTTAAATGTAGTGATAATACTAATTCAAGAGCATTCCCAAATCCCTAAATACTAAAAAAAAATTTAAGAAATGAAGACTGAAAACAAGCCAACAACTGCTAGTTTAAGTAAAAATATTCCACACTCCAGTTACACTACCCTAAAACTCTGTCATTTAACCTTCACTCTGTTGTTGCAGACATCAGTCCTACTCCCCTCAATGGGCTGTACAACCGCTGTACAACAGCCATTTCTGCCTCAGCTCCCTTGAGATGCTACTTCCAATCATCCTCCCAATAATCCTCAGATAAAGGTCCATTACGACTCCAAAGCCATCGTGTCCACGGCCAGCTCACACACACACCTCCTGTTAGAGGGCACCAAAGGCATTCCATGGCTCCCTGGTCTTCCTGCCTTTCCATCCAAACTCTAAATTGCTCCAAGGCCCTGGGGCAGTACACAGCACACCCCACTCAAATCAGGAATCAAGAAGGAACGTCACTGACTAGGGGCTGCACACCCGGACAACAGCCACACAGCAGGGACACATGGGTCTTGGTGTGAAAACCACTTGCCCATTACAAAAGCAAAGTAAGCTTTTTTCTATTAAAGACTCAAAAGGCCAAAAACCAGCATTATGGGTTATACATAAAATACATAAATGACTAAAAAGCAAGACATAATGCAACGCTCTCATGCTTTGTTAGCTGGCAAATCCACACGCCTACGTTTTACGAGTTACACAAGATCATCAGAACTCCACCAGTTCAGGAAAAGAAACTGAATCACAGCCTATACTGCTGTCTACTCTCTAGAACAACACCTGGGAACACCCTTCTGCTCTCACACCCTCTCCTGTTCAGGAAGGGGGAAGGACACCAGCATCGGCCAGCCTTCTCCGACTGTATTACGTGCCACACTTTCAGCTGCTGGTCCTGAGCAACCCCTTTTAACGTTATTTCAAAATCCCTTTACACTTGATTTTTTAAAAAAATCCATGTGCTTTTTTCTATCTTGTAAATGAAACAAAGTATCAATGCAATGGTTTAACCTCTCAGAGCCAGCAACTATTCTGAGCATTGTAAGCCAAAAGATGAATAAAAACATAGTCCTTGCCTCTGTCTTGCCAAGAGCATTAAACCAATTCAAAAAACCTAAAAACTTTTCAAATTTGCAGACTTAATGAACCAGAAATTTTAATATTTTTCTTCCTATGAGGCAGATCTCTCTAAGCATGAAGCAGCCGAGGGAGGGTGTGAGGGACACTGGCTCACAGTGGGAGACGCGAGAGACTGGAAAGAGCTCGTTCTTACTTCACCTCAGTATGCACCTACACACTCATTTTTTGGATTATGTATTTCACAACCTCCTTTACAGAGTCAAGCTACAAGATTTTGACTCTTAGAAGCTTATATACAGACAAATAAACAGCACTGCCAGTAAGTAAATAAGAGAAACCATACATGCCAACAGCATACCTGTGCCAGGTCAGGGCACAGACTTCAGGCCAATCCACACTTCACTGACAGAGGAAAACGACAGGAGAACTGTTATCCCCACAGGGAACCCAGGAGTCCACACAGCCATGTGGTTCCCAATTCCCAGGAGTCTGGGCCCTCAGCTAGTAATAATAAAGTAATAGCACAAGAAAAACATCCCACTAATGTTGATACTTAAAATTTATTGGCTTTCATAATGTGGCTTGAAATTAATATATAAATTGTCATTTACAGCTGTATTAGGGATATATGCACACAGATTATTCCTATTTTGTATGGTGAAGAAGGTAGAAATTAAGTAACATGGAAGACCCACAAAAACATTTAAGTCCATAATGTACTCAGGTTTGAGAAATCCTGGAATCAAACCAGAAGTTCTCCACCCCACAAAGGAAAGCCCAGTGTGCTCTTCCGACAGTTGCTGGGATTCAGGGCAGACCCGGGACTGCTGCAGCCAGCGGCCACCAGCGTCCTCTGGGCAGCAAGCAGTGGAAGAATGATGGAGCTGCGGGCCTGACTGTGGGCCTGACCCGCAAGTACCGAAGTCAGTACTCGGGTTTCACAAGAGGAGACTGAGCCTTGGACAGACTACGTTACCCAACTATACCACTAGGACATGGCACCAACATGATTCAACTCAATACCATCATTTCAACAGGGATAGCCTGGGGCTTTTTAAAACTACTTCCATGATCTGGCGGAAGGGTATACAAGCAGTTACTTGTACAACTCCTTCATCTTTCCTATTTGAAATTATTTTAAAGAAGAAGTCAGAGGCCGGCGCTGCAGCTCACTAGGCTTCCACCTGCGGCGCCGGCACCCCGGGTTCTAGTCCCAGTTGCTCCTCTTCCAGTCCAGCTCTCTGCTGTGGCCCGGGAGTGCAGTGGAGGATGGCCCAGGTCCTTGGGCCCTGCACCCACATGGGAGACCAGGAGGAAGCACCTGGCTCCTGGCTTTGGATCGGTGCAGCACCAGCCACAGCAGCCACTTGGGGGGTGAAGCAACGGAAGGAAGACCTTTCTCTCTGTCTCTCTCACACTGTCTAACTCTGCCTGTCAAAAAAAAGACAAAGACAAAGACAAAGACAAATGTCGCTCCCCGTCTTCGTGGAGGAACGACACAGGACCCTGCGCTGTTCTTTCATCTGCTCGGCCCTCCCCGGGTTTGCTGCTGGTTCTTCCCGGGTTGGCTACCGACCCTTCCACCTCCGTGGAAGGGCGGTTCCCCCTGCCACTTTTCCCCACTTCCGCGGGGGAGCAGCACACCGCCGGCCGGCTCTCTCGGGGGCTGCACAGGTGTTCCTTCAGATAGATGTTCCCCTTAGATGTTCCTGGTGCATGTTGTCTCTCTCCTCCTTTATAGTCCTCTTCCACCAATCCCAACTCGGCTGCCCACACGCCGAGTACGCTGCTCTCCTCCAATCAGGAGCAGGATCAGCTCCTGGAGGTCATCACTCAAGTTGGCAAGAGGCAGCTGCGTAGAAGCTGTTTTCTCCTCTCCCAGCGCCATATTGTGGGAGAGCAGATGCATAGAATAAGTCTTAATTCCAGTAACTTAGTCTAGTCCGAGTTGCTCCCAATTGCTCCCCACAGACAAAGACAAAGACAAAGGAAGGAAGGAAGGAAGACAAGACCAGACCAGACCAGACCAGACCAAAGTCGGAATGGAAAACAGGCCAAGATGTTTGTTTTAAGAGGCAGAAGTTGGCCGGCGCCGCGGCTCACTAGGCTAATCCTCTGCCTAGCGGCGCCGGCACACCGGGTTCTAGTCCCGGTTGGGGCGCCGGATTCTGTCCTGGTTACCCCTCTTCCAGGCCAGCTCTCTGCTGTGGCCAGGGAGTGCAGTGGAGGATGGCCCAGGTGCTTGGGCCCTGCACCCCATGGGAGACCAGGAAAAAAGCACCTGGCTCCTGGCTCCTGCCACCGGATCAGCGCGGTGCGCCGGCCGCAGCGCGCCGGCCGCGGCGGCCATTGGAGGGTGAACCAACGGCAAAGGAAGACCTTTCTCTCTGTCTCTCTCTCTCTCACTGTCCACTCTGCCTGTCCAAAAAAAAAAAAAAGGCAGAAGTAAAAGGGTAAACAGAAAAGGATAGGACATGGAAGAGAACAGAGCCAGGCCTCGGGGGAGAGGGGCAACTCACCGCATCTGCATGGAGGAGTGAGATGGCTTTCAATCTTGTTCTGTAGGGAAGGGGCTGGCTCAGGCCCCAGAAGTCCAGATACAGGCCTGACGGGAACACAGATGCCAGTGTCTCTGTTTTTCTCTATATAACAAATTCAGATTAACACTTATACAAGGGGCGGGCGCTGTGGCACAGTGTTGGTTAAAGCCCTGGCCTGGAACGCCGGCATCTCATATGGGCGTCGGTTCTTGTTCTGGCTGCTCCTCTTCCAATCTGCTGTGGCCTGGGAGAGCGGCAGAAGATGGCCCAGGTCCTTGGGCCCCTGCACCCATGTGGGGGGCCCAGAGGAAGCTCCTGGCTCCTGGCTTCAGATCGGCTCAGCTCCGGCCGTTGCAGCCATCTGGGGAGTGAACCAATGGATGGAGGGCCTCTCTCTCTCTCTCTCTCTGCTTCTCCTTCTCTCTCTGTGTAACTCTTTCAAATAAATAAAATAAATCTTAAAAAAAAAAAAACACTTATACACTTGACAGAATGCCTATTTATGATTATGGAGAAAGCATTCTGAGGTCCACACAACAATTTCTTAACTCTTGTGTTACTACATAAAACAACTCAATTATATGCTAAATTGTAGAGTTCTAATACCTGGAGTTCTAATGGCTCCAGAAAATCTGTGAAACTTGGAATTGAAGGTTTTTTCCAACATTAATTTTTCATTCATTTACTGCGGACTGGCGGGTGGTAGTAACATGCCAGTAACAGCTCAGAGCTGGTGCCAAAGTCTGGAATCAGCAACTCAGTGAGGGTCTCCCATGTCAGTGGCAGGAACCCAATTACTGAACTATCACCACTTCCTCCCAGGAAGGTACGGTCAGAAGCCAAAGCCGGGAATCAAATCCAAGTATTCTAAATTGGGACCTGGGCATCGTAACTTACCAGGCTAACACTTGCCCCTTAAAGATCAAGAAGAGTGCCTGCCCTCCCTCCACCACACACAACAGAGAGTGTTTGCAGTCTTCATGAATCAGGGTGGAACTGTCCCAGGAATCCTATCACATGTTTGCCACACATTTTCTTTTTCACATCGTCTGTCTCTAAATAATTTCAGCAAGTAAAATCTACTGCCCTTTAAAAAAACAGGGAAATAAATTCCTTCCCATCTAATTTAAATATATCACTAAAAGAAAGTGATAAAGTAGGTTGATCTTATATTACTGGCAGCAGGAAATATTTTTTTAAGCATCAAATACCAACTCTTACATTTTATACACAAAGCCAGTACTCTACATTTCCCAGCTTAGTGAAATGTAGTACAGTTGAAATCAGAAATGTAAAGTGGGGCCGGTGTTGTGGCATAGCAGGTAAAGCCATTGTCCGTGGCACCAGAATTCTATATGAGCACTGGTTCATGTCCCAGCTGCTCTGCTTCTGATCCAGCTCCCTGCTAATGGCTTGGGGAAAACAGCAGCAGATGGCCCAAGTGCTTGGGCTTCTGCCACCCATTTAGGAAACCCAGATGAAGCTCCTGGCTCCTGGCTTCAGCTTGGTCCAGCCCTGGATGTTGTGGCCACCTGGGGAGTCAAGCAGCAGATGGAAGATCGATCTTTCTCTCTCTCTCTCTCTCTCTCTCTCTCTCTATCCCTCTCTATCTGTAACTTGACTTTCAAATAAATAAATAAATAAATCTTAAAACAAACAAACAAAAAAGTGGGGCTCACGCTGTGGCATAGTGGGCTAAGCCTCAGCCTGCGGCATCAGCATCCCATATGGGCGCAGGTTAGAGTCCGGCTGCTCCTCTTCTGATCCAGCTTTCTGCTGTGGCCTGGGAAAGCAGCAGAAGATGGCCCAAGTGCTAGGGCCCTGCACCCTAGTGGGAGACCCAAAAGAAGCTCCTGACTCCTGGCTTAGGATCAGTGTAGCTCAGCCATTGTGGCCATCTGGAGAGTGAACCAGTGGATGGAAGACCTCTCTCTCTCTCTCTCTCTCTCTGTCTCTGTCTCTCTCTGCCTCTGCCTTTCAAATAAATAAATAAATCTTTAAAAAAATCTAACCTACATTCCAGAAAATTAATTGAAACAGAGGAAACTATAACTGATATTTACCACCAGGTAGGATGAGTATTAACACACTTAACTTGTATAAAAATTATCAAGAGATAAATATTTGGGATATTCCAGAAAGACATTTAAGCCATTTCGATCTCTTCTGTTCACAAACATTTTGACTGCTTTTACCATCAACTTTTAATCAAGTTGACAAATATTTCTTTCTTCTACTATCCTAGGAATTTCTTTTTTTTTTTTTTTTTTAACAGAGTGGACAGTGAGAGAGAGAGAGACACAGAGAGAAAGGTCTTCCTTTGCCGTTGGTTCACCCTCCAATGGCCGCCGTGGCTGGCGCACCACGCTGATCCAAAGGCAGGAGCCAGGTGCTTATCCTGGTCTCCCATGGGGTGCAGGGCCCAAGTACTTGGGCCATACTCCACTGCACTCCCAGGCCATAGTAGAACTGGCATGGAAGAGGGGCAACTGGGACAGAATCCGGCGCCCTGACTGGGACTACGGGACTAGAACCCGCTGTGCCGGCACCACTAGGCGGAGGATTAACCTGTTGAGCCCCGGCGCCGGCCCCCATCCTAGGAATTTCAACAGGGCTCAGAGAGAAAAGGTAAGGATGGGGCTGGTAGGGGGTGGGTAACTCAATCTGCTAAAATGATGGAAACAGACAAACTTCTGTCCCTTTTTGGACAGGCTGTTTCGTGAAAACAGGCTGCTAGTTCCTTTAAAAGGACACAAAAACTACTTACAGATTGAAAATCTCAGGTCTTCCAGTCTCAGATTTCCATTTAGAGAATACATTTTAGGGGAAGGAGGAATATACACTCGTTGAAAAAGGCACAGTGCATGGGGCCAGCACTGTGGCTCAGCGGGTCAACGCTCTGGCCTGAAGCGCTGGCATCCCATATGGGCGCCGGTTCAAGACCCGCCGCTTCCAATCCAGCTCTCTGCTATGGCCTGGGAAAGCAGTGGAAGATGGCCCAAGTCCTTGGGCCCCTGCACCCACGTGGGAGACCTGGAGGAAGCCCCTGGCTCCTGGCTTCAGATAGGCTCAGCTCCAGCCGTTGCAGCCATCTGGGGAGTGAACCAGTGGATGGATGACCTCTCTCTCTCTCTCTCTCTCTCTGCCTCTCCTCTCTCTGTGTAACTCTGACTTTGAAATAAATAAATAAATATTTAAAAAAAAAAAAGAGAGAGAAAGGCACAGTGCATGACACTGTCTACAGACTATGAAGAAGGCCTGACTCGGGGAAGGAGCGTCATGTCTGCCTGCACTGAAGTCACTGATGCTGATAAGAGATACTGTCACCATGGCATCCTACAGCAAGGGACTGCACAAAGCTACCAGCCTACTGCCATGGGTTGAATGTCCCAGAGAACTTGTGAAGGACAGAAACTCCATGTTGTTGTTTCTTTCACTCAAACAGTATGACAGATTTCACAGTGGCAGGGCTAAAATGCCTAACAATGCCTCTTAAGTAATAAAGGACAAGACACCAACCCTGAAAGAAGAGAAAGCTCAAAAAACAGGCAAAGGATCATTGAACTGAACATGCACTCACGGTAACAAAAATCTTGCTGATATCATAAAGGCAGTCATAAAAGCACACAATAATAGAAAGCTGTGTTCAGAAAATGTGCCTTAATTAATGCTCTCTTTTGGAAAAAAGGGAGATGAATATGATGGAAAGACAGCCTTAAGAACAAAGCAGCTGGAGCCAGTGCTGTGGTCGCTGTGGCACAGCGGGTAAAGCCGCCACCTGTGGTGCTGGCACACAGGTGCTCGTCCCGGTTGCTCCATTTCTGATCCAGCTTTCTGCTATGGCCTGGGAAGGCAGTAGAGGATGGCCCAAGTAGTAGAGAATGGCCCAAGGCTTTGGACCCCGAAAATTTTAAAAAAAAAAAAAAAGAAAGAAAGAAAAAAACAAAAAGAACAAAGCAGCTGACACTTTGCCTTTGTGGGAAGGCAAGGTATGAAGACAACTGCTCCCAGCACAGCGAATCACTCTGTGAGAAGAGCACCTGTTCTCTAATGCTCTTATGGGTTGCCCTTTGCACTGTAAGTCAGTTGAGAGCTTTAAGAATCTTTATAATTTTTTACCATTAAAATTCAATAGCTATTGACCAGCTTTCATTCAGGTTAGCAGGATTAATCTCAATATTAGCAGTTCTTCTGAAAATTTGGTTATTTTAACACATTTCACCACAATCAAAATACAAAAAGTGGTATCTCTGATGATGTCTCTCTATGGATATGTTCGGTATACTAATGTCAATCAGGGAAGGCACAGTTAAAATGAAAAGGCTGGGCGCCTCAGGAACTCCTGCAAAGCTAACCAAACAACCAGGCTGGAGTTCTGAACAAGTAGGTAAGAAATACAAACAGTGGCACTTCCAAATAACATTTTAATTTTAATTATTAAATGGTACCCGAGTCTCAAGTATGAAAAATAATTGTGTTGGAAATACCTAATAAATGACTTATGCTACCAAAAAATATAGTTTTAACACTGCGTTGACAAATGGCCACAGAAGTTTAAACTAGGTATTACTCAAAGCACCCTTTGTCCATAAAGGAGTAAATGGTATACAGTATAACACAGACAGCATCAAGAAAATCTCTCAGAGCTCAAGGAAGGCTTCATGGAGCAGTACAAAGACTCCAAACTAAGTCATAGGAGGTATGGCTTCCGGCCAAAACAAGTCCCTCAGCAGGCAGGGAACTTGTACAGTCAGTCTCTGCTGCTGTGCAAACACCTTTCTATCTTGTGTAACTTAGCAGGTGTGTCCAGACTGGTGAAGTGGATCTTCCCAAGGGAAGTACAAAGCCCAAATTCTTAAATGAAAAGTTTTACTTGACGTGCATACACATACATACACAGTCACACCCACACAATGCAAAGCAGCGATTTGCTTTTCAGATCCATACAGATGCTGTTAAGACAGATGGAAAGGGAACAGTAATGGTTCACCACCACTGTTAACAGGAAAACAAAATTTACTGATACTTAAAAGGGTTCTCAGGTCCTTCTACTCACACTGCTGCCCACTGATTCAGACCCTGAAAAAAGCCAGCCTGTGTGTGTGTCAATTGCAAAAGCCATCTACTCTACCACATGAACAAACTGCAGGCTGGCTGACCACTCCTGTAGAGTGAGAGCAAAACATGAGGTCCCTGCAAGGATGAACCCGCAGAATGAGATCGGTCGTGACGGCACCAGGATAACCAGGCTGGGGTGAGTTCTCCAGATTTAAAAGGCAGGCCACTCACTCACTCACAGCAAGATTTTAGTGCAAATACGAACTTAAAGTTTTCTTGTCTGCAAAGGAAATCAGCATCACAAACAGTTGTGAAAAGTAAGTAGGTTAAACTGTGTGAAAAGAATGGCAAAGTGCCTGGGCACAAAGTAAATCCTCACTATTGTTTTACCTCCTCACCCAGCAACTGGTTCTAAACGACCCACGGCAGAGCCTTGTCAGAGCTGCATGCCTAGTCTTAACCTTTAGATTATTTTCAGCACCTTCAGAATGTGGTCAGATATCATTGATCCTCTTTCCAGAAAAATGCACATACATGTAAAACTTTGCAAGAAATTTCAAAAAGCTCACAGGGGCCGGTGCTGTGGCCCAGCAGGTTAAACCACCCCTTGCAACACCAGCATCCTATATGGCTGCTGGTTCAAGTTCCAGCTGCTCCACATCCAATCCAGCTCCTTGCTAATGCACCTGGGAAAGAAACAGAAGATGGCCCAAGTCCTTGGGCCCCTACACCCACGTGCGAGACCCAGATGAAGCTTCCTGCTCCTGGCTTCAGTCTGGTCCAGGCTTGACCACTGTAGCCATTTGGGCAGTGAACCAGCAGATGGAAGATTTCTCTTTCTCTGCCTCCCTCTCTCTGTAACTCTAAGTCTTTCAAATAAGTAAATATATCTTAGGAAAAAAAAAGTTCACAAACCCTCCCAAACTCAAAGAGCCCAACCACAGGCCTATGAACCTCAGATTAAGGATGTCTAGGGGCCAGCATTGAGGCATAGTGGACTAAGCCTCCAAATTCAGCGTCAGCACTCCATATGGGTGCCGGTTTCAGTCCTGGCTGCTCCTCTTCTGATCCAGCTCCCTGCTAATGCTCCTGGGAAAGCAGTGTAAGATGGCCCAAGTGACTGGGCTCCTGCACCCACTTGGGAGACCTGGGACAAAGTCCTGGCTCCTGGCTTCCATCAGCCCAGCTCCAGCCGTTGCAGCCATTTGGGGAGTGAACCAGTGGATGGAAGATCATTCTGTCTCTCCCTCTCTCAAATAAATAAATAAAATCTTTAAAAAAAAATGTCTAGAGGGGCCAGCATTGTGGCAAAGTGGGTAAAGTCTCGCTTGCATGCTGGTTTGTATCCTCCCTGCCCTACTTCCTATCCAGCTTCCTGATAATAGCCTGGGAAAAGCAGTGGAAGATGGCCCAAATGTTTGATCCCTGTTACACATGACAGACTCTGATGAAGCTCTTGGCTTCAGCCTGGCCCAGCCTCGGCCGTTGCAGCCATTTGAAGAATGAACCAGTAGATGAAAGACTGACCTCTCTTTCTCTCTTTCTTCTCTCTCTCCCCTCCTTTCCCTCTCTTTCTGGAACTCTGCCTTTCAAACAAATAAACCATATATATATATATATATAGTCTAGAAAGAACAATAAATTTCCTAAAACAAGAATTTGTTTAAATCAAGGCTCCTGTGTTAGGTTTAATGTATGTTTGTTACATGTTAAGTATCCTAAAGAGAAATGCATCAAAAAAAAAAAAAAAAACTAATAGAAGAAGGGGGGTGGGGGGCTGAAACAAAATAGTTCAAACCACATTTACAGCACTGTCTTAATTATGTATGTGTGTTAGCCACTCGACAGAGGTCATAAACGTACAAAACAACATGGCCAGGGGCCTGCACTGTGGCATAGAGGGTAAAGAAGCCACTGCCTGCAGTGCTAGCATCCCATATACGCAACGGTTCGAGTTCCGGCTGCTCCACTTCAGATCCAGCTCTCTGCTGTGGCCTGGGAAAGCAGCAGAAGATGCCCCAAGCCTTTGAGCCCCTGCACCCACGTGGGAGACCTGGAGGAAGCTCTTGGCTCCAGATCGGCGCAGCTTCGGCCATTGTGGGGAGTGACCCAGCAGGTGGAAGACCTCTCCCGCCCTCCCTCCCTCCCTCTCTCTCTGTCTCTTTCCCCCTTCCTCCTTCCCTGTCTGTAGCTCTGCTTTTCAAATAAAAAAAAAATCCCTAAAAAAAAAAAAAAAAGATACGGCCAATAAAATTAGAACACTAAATAACCAAATGCCTGTATATTAACTAGCTCTTGGTCACCCAATAAGGAAGAGGACAAGAGCCCTGACCTGTAGAGCCACTTCCCGGGTGATGGGACTAAACGTCCATCGGGAGGCCTCTGAAATGGCTGCACCTCTCTGCACTGGCTTGAGCCTCTGACATGTGGCCTTGTGGTTTCTGCGTAAATCATGTGGGGTGGGGTCAGCTCTGATCAGTCTAGGGAGGGTCTGGGCAGTATCATCTCTGCCTCTTACCGCCCCCTCTCTCCCCACCCCCAGCAAGTGAACACAGTATTTTTTGCTAGACAGTGTCCAAGCTAACAGGCACAACAAGCAAAAATGTTGGCTTTCTAGCAAATACACATATGAACAGGCAAGTTAAAAATTGTAAAATTAAATCTTACCAGCATACAGCACCATTTTAATATAGAAACACAGATCACATACACCTGACTATGTAAAGTTAAATTATGATACAATCAATGTTGTCCTATAGAAACTAAATTAACAAAAACAGTCTATTAGGGAAGACATCTGGTGCATCACGGCAAGAAAATGTTAATGTTATTGTCTGCAGCCCAGTAATCAATGTTTTCTCCCAGCAGCTCTCTCACTGCACTGCACTGGGTCCGTGGGCCTGCAGAATTTACGAGTGCTCCACACATGGGGAGGGAGCTTTACCAAACGGATCCAGTTCAGATCCAGCAGGAATGACTTTGGCAACACAAGCAGCATTAAAGAACAATCAATACTGTGAGGCTCATGCAGCATTCTCTTGACTAAGAGATTCATCATCTTACTACAGAACCTTCTCCAACGCACAGGAGGGTGCCTGAGTGCTCCAACAATCATGAATTATCTGAATCATCAGTGGATGTAGATACTTTTACTGCTAAAAAATAAATACTGGTTTCACTATGCTAATATAAAAATTTACTGAAATCAGTATTATTATGGGCAAAACTTAAAAACCATTCAGCAAAAATCCTATTTAGAGAGTACTATGATAAATACAAAAGTCTAACAATGACATCACATTGATTAGAGCAAGAAAATATCAGCCAAAAAGAAAAAAAAACCATTTCTTAGATACATTTGGAAACAAAACAGGAAAGGCTAAAGCTTAAAAGTAGGAAGTTGAAACTCTAGTAATTTGTCCCTTAATGTCAACAGCTCTCTCCAGGAGTTAATATTAGACTTTTATTCAGTACATTAGGTTCTACCTTCCATTGTGGCGCCTATTATTTCAAGAACCGGCTTTCTGGTCTAATTCCCGAGTCATTACTCAGACAACTGTATAAACACCATGTTACTGCCGTGACTCCTTCTCCCCTTGACTTTGTTGCAAGCATTAGTATCCCATCTCTCGTCTCGGACCTCTTCACCCTATACAGGATGATAGTCCTAAGCCCCCAACTGAACCTTCCCCATTCTAAACTCAGGCTGCTGCCAGTGATTGTTCCTAAGTAGTGGCCCACATGTCAACTTGCCTGGAATTAAAAGGCCTGCAAAAGCTTTCCACTGCCACCACATACAGTCCTAACTTGTCTAGCCTTAGGATCTGCACCATCTACCTCCCCACCTGTGCCTCAGAGGCCCACTCACCTACATCCTGTGGGCGACCTTCTCACAGCTCCCCGTCTCGCCAGGTGCACTGCCTATACTGCTGACAGGGACAAACTGACAAGTACATCTGGAAGGCCCTTCTACTCTGCCTACCCCTAACTGTACCATGTCAAAACCTTACCCAGTCCCTATAAATGTGCCAGCCTTCACAAAACTCCCTCACATGCTACAGCCCATTTGGAGCACTCCCTTATCTTAATCCCAAGATATTCATATTGCACACTGCAACTGGACAATTCATCAAATGCTGACAGTATCCTAAATTGTGTGTGCATGGTGGCTATCTCTTCATTCCCTTGTATTATTTTCTAATTCAGAACAAATTTGAGCCCCACTATCAGACTGCACTTAGTGATTAACAGCAGTCTTAGATACCAAGAACAATAAACACTTGTCTTGCAGAGGATGTTACCATTAAATCCTCCAAAAGGAAGGAAAAGGAAGACAAATGCACACACAGCTTTCATAAAAAGGAAGCTACACTCACAGGAACAGCCTGCAGGGACCGCCCCCAAAGGGCTTTGGGTTCTGCAGATAGAACACTATGGTCACTCTTCCTGCTGCACCTCACACATCCATGACACCACCAGGGAACGCAGGAATTATGGCTACCACAGGGGAAAGTGGAGCCATACCTCAACCCAAGCCTTTGAAAGTATTTATTCTAGAACCAGCATTACAGAAAAGCCTATTTCTGAGTAACACTCTACAAAATGTCACCTGAGAAAACAGAACCCAAAACAGGTTAGATTTGTGGGCCATGGGTCCCAACGAGCCTGGGAAATGCACATTCCACACTAGGACTCGAACTTACCCCCTGCTCCCCCATTTCAGGTGCCAACATCCATACTCGCTGCTGATTGCCAGCTCCTGCTCCTTGCAGCAGCCCAGCATGCTCTCTGCTGGTGCCAGATACGCTTCCCCAGAACCCCACTCCCTCCTGGACCGTCCTAGAGGGGTAAGGAAGTCCCGTATTTTGCTTCCTCTGTGCATGTACTTGTTACTCCTTTAAAAACACACGATGATACAGCACATCTTGAAAGGGGCTCTGGGGAGGGAGGTAATATTCCTATTTTATACCCTGTGGGATATAAAATACTGACAGCTTTTAAAAACGGGATTCTCCTTACCCCTACAGGCCCTCTCCCGGCTTCAGAAAGATGCTGTGGTGGCTGTGATGCCACCGGCAGAGAGCATGCTGGGGGGTCACACAAAGCAGGAGTTGGAGATCTGCAACAGGCCTGGGAGTTGTGGACCTAAAAAAGAAAACAGTTTTAAGTTAACGTGCCCAATGCCCCCTCATACCCTGGTTATTAGGGGCACTCAGCACACAAGCAGGTACTCTGCAAAAATCCTGCCAGGGACGGCCTCTGAAATCTCAGATAATTTGTGCTAACACCAAAGTCCACCCTACTATGTTAATCAAAGCTGCTCCTCATTTTCAGTGTGAACAAACATACGTAGACCCTTCCAGCTCCACTCTTGAGTCAGGGTCCTGTCATAAAGCAGTATGGTGTGTGCCCCTCAAAATAACCAAGTTCAGGTGCGACACAGTGACAAAGCACAGTGACAGAGGCATGCTTCATTTTCAAACAGGAAATTCTGTGGCATCAGATAAACACAACAGTGACGTGGACCAAGCGGACAAACTGAGCTTTCAGAAGGGTTTCCAGTGAGACAGGACAGGTGGGAGCCGGCAAACAGCCAAAGCCTGAGGGCGGCCAAAGGACCTGACATTTTCCTCAAAGTCCTGTTTTAACTTTGTAAACCAAAGCCACGGCAAGCAGAAAAAGTCTTTAAAACACAGAGGAAAAAAGACCACATTCAAATAGCTTTAATTTTTCTCAAAATGCCCACAAGGTAAGTGTAATGAACAGACACAGAGCATAAAGTTCAAGAAAGTCATTATTTCTTTAAGGGGAAATATCAGTGTAGCATGTACCACATGTCTTTTATTTAAAGAAGCTTGGAAAACATTTAAAAGTTAGCAAAAATAAGATTGGAGTGGAACTTCTGAAAGCCAGTGCAGTCCTCACAAGTATCAAAAAAGATACCTCAGACAACAGTTTGAATGTTCTTTTTCAAATATTCTAGAGAATACCACACACACACATACACACACACACACACACACACTAACCAATCCCATTCCATGTGGTTTGCAATAAACAAAAACGTTCACATACTTATGCAAGAACGTTTGCTCTTAAAGTTTAAAACATTATGATCCAAATTTTAAATATTGTCTTTATTAGGTGTCCTGCTACGTATAACTCCTTCAGTGAAACAAAGAATCACTCTCCAACTTTCTGTGAGCCAAGATTTTAATACAGTCCATCAACCACTTTTTTTAATGTATGTCTTTTTGAGCCTCTGTAGCTGACAAACACCAAGAAAATAACCTCCTACTTGGGTATGTCTTTGATGACCATTTGATTTTCTCCCTTTAAAGATTACCGCCCAGAACACCCTGGGCTCCAGAAGCAGACTTTGTGCAGCCCCAGCACAAGGGAGACAACATCGTGTTGGTGGTCACAGCCTCTACCACACATCCCCCACCCTCTCCCAGCACCTCAAGTTCCAAATCGAAAGTCTGCCTGTGCACTTCAAAGTACATCTCCAGCTTATCCAATTTTTTTTTTACCAGCATCAAAATAAAATGAATTTCTGGATGATCTCCTGTGTTTTCTAGAAACTCCATTAATCAGACCACTGAAACCTTCATTCATTCAACTTAAGGATTTCAAATGTAAAAGGAACCTGGTAAAGCATTTCTAAGAGCTTTTTCATTAAACATGTAAATAATTCAAGTAACTTTTAAAACATCCATATATACAAATTTCCAGTTGTGGGAAATCATTTGATTGACCCAATTTTACCATTACTCTTCCACCAATCTCTGCAAATATCAGATTGTTTCAAACTTTCTTAAGCTCGCTGAAAAAGAAAATTAGAACACCTGGATTCTCTGCATTAAAAATTTTCACACAAGGATAAGTTTAATAAACATTATTTTAGATAAATATTTCACAAATATATATAATTAAACACAACCGTTTCAATGATAACTGAAAGTTCTAGAATCCAATTAAATTGAGAGAAATTGAAATATCCAGCTTCGCAGAAATCTTGAGCCTTGGACAGCTGCAATCCCAGTGTCCCAGGCTGCCCAGAGCCAGGCCTGCAGAGGCCGCTGAGCAGAAGGGTAACCGAGGCCAGGAAGAGGCTATG